ATACACGATAAATGTTGCAAAATTATAAAAATATATTAAGATCTTATTTTTAATCACGAAATCAAATAGAGATTATGCAAATATTTCTAAACTTTCACTCATTCGTTCGACGATGCCTAGAACTAATTTTTTATAGGATGGTCAGCTCTCGGACAGACTTCCTATTAAAATACTTAATTTTTTTTTATGTAGTAGTGAATGTAATTTAGTCACCACGTGTCGAGTAACATGCCTGTTCGATTCGCTCGTATTACATTTATACGCTTTAAGGAGAATAGTTCTCTTCTTACTTTCCCGAGGGCTTCTTATACATATACGGGATGAATGGCCTTATAGCCTAGTCGATGCGATGCGATGCGATGGATGAAACCAAACGGGAGAACCACCGACCGAAGCAACAGGTGTACACCACATAAAGGCGAGCCGGTGGCACTCTCTAGTACACGTACTTGTAGTTATACACCGGTGCATAATTCGGTTTCGTGAAATGCACAACGGAAAAAACGCGTCATCCTTTTCGACCAACGAATTCGTCCCGCGCGATCATTTCTGTTAATTTCATTCTTATTTCTATCAATTGCAGTCGATACAAATTGAAACAAAATTCTCGTCAAATGTGAAGGACTATCTTGATAAAGGTTCGATTCTATTTATTTCAAAACATTAAGAAAGTATTAAGAAAATGTATATACCTATATATATATATTTCTTTTTTTATTAATGTTGATGGTAACGAGCAAATTAAAAATGATGCAACTACATATAATTGATACTTAATGAACAGGCATTTTATTTTACTGACAATTTTATTATACGGACATATGGGTAAATAATAATTTTCTGCTGTTACAGTCGATATTGAAAATAGATAAAAGTTATATATATTTGTGCTATTCTGAAGTAGAGAAAGTTTAATAGCGCGATAAAAAATTACGACGAGGACGAATTTGGAGACGCGTTTCTCTTGGTCGCAGTTTGCTCAGAACAGCTGCCGCAGTTGTTTGGTTGCCGAGTATTCTCGAGGTGTCGAGGAAAGAGGGATAAGTCCAAAGACGTTGGTAGCACGTGCCGGTTATGCTCGTGAAGGTTACACACTCACCCCGTCGTATTCCAGATGGACGAGAGAAAAAAATCTCCTTATAAACAACTGCGGAGAACTTGGTTTCGTAGTGCTTTCCACGTGCCATAGCTTACTCATTCGTCTCGATTATGTTTCCTCGGAAACCGTCGACCTCTCATAATAATTATTATTTTATCGATTATTAAATATTTTTTTCTATATTATATATTTCGATATAAAATAGTAAATAAAATATTTACTAGAATTAATATATAAATTATTATTTATATATTTTTGGTATGCATGTTGTTTTTATAAATAAATAATCCATTATTATACATTGAAATCTAATGAAAAATATTATATTACACGCTTAATGATTTTACTGATAAGAAAGGATGATTAATGAGGAATAATTAAGAACAACCGAGTGAAAAGATTTAAAAACGTCGATAAAGAAGATATACTGCCAATAAAGTAAAAGAACTTTAATTGAAGAATACCAAATATTCCAAGCAATTATCGCGTTTCGTAAGTAGAAAAATTAGTAGTCGTGAAAACAGAAAAATTAACTGCGTATTTTTACAAATTTAGTACATTTTGTAACTTGCAGAATCGTGAATATTAATTTATATGAATTTATATTTATATTACATCAAATATTATATTGAAAAAATAATTACCCATCTCGTGATAATAAATCGATCTTATTATATTTTTAATAGAAGAGAATGTTTGCATATTTTAAAACCAACAGAGAGAGAGAGTAAGAGAAAATCACCGTTTTATTAGGATTTGAAGAAATCCGTATTAAAATTTTGTAATCTTGACAAATAATATACATACATTTTAAAAACCCTGTATTGTTAAAATTATGAACAAATTCGACTGAAAAAGAAACGTATTATTTCTTGATACAGTCAAGATTCTTTTTTTTTTTTTTTTTTGTATACATTGTATCGTAGTGTCGCAGAGGTGTGCCTAATTATTCTCGATTTTAAATGCGTATTTCAGCTCCCCTATCTCTAAGATTATCGGATAAAGAAAATATTTTTTACCGGCCAACATTAATTGATCGAAAAGTATATACCTGGTTATCACGCCAATCGCTCGCAAATAACGCAAGTTATGCAAATTTATGTTGAACATGTCAGGTCAAATGCCATCTGAGTCGAGGGCCTCGGGTGTTTTGAATTTCCATTCGATTAAGTAACGATCGCGCTCCGTCTAGCTTCGATCGATTTGATCGTTTAACCGAATGCTTTTATTTTGTAGAAAAAAAGAGAAAAAGGAAAACTCGTTAATCCGCGATGCAACACCTGCCAGCGGAGGTATCTCGAGGCGATATCTCGATCTCTCCGTTATATTCAGAGTACAAATGATACATTACGGATACGAGCGAGTTCTGATTTATAACGCAATATAACCAAATAAAGCTCGCTGTACAGATTGTACCTCAGCGATAATAGACGATACCTAGAGATTCGATAAATGTACATAGGTTTCACATTTATTTTTTTCAATTTTTAAAATTATTTTACGATTATTTTAATTATTAAGATAACCACAGAAAAAGTGACAATATTGCTCCGATTTGAGATTTTACTGTAGGATTAATTCTATAGAGCCAGCTTCATGATTTAATAATTCTTAATTAGATTTATAAGCATCTTCATGTTTGTTACATCACTCTCATATATATATTTTATTATTTTATGTAATATAATTATATTTAATATTATAATATTTTCTTTGAGAATTATCCTTATATTTTTAAAGCAAGACAAATTTTATTTTAATAATTATTAAGTAAAAAAATCAAACCTCCCTCTCTTTTTGTATGTTTTTTTCTGATGACCGAAGAAATCTTTTTTGTTTGCGATGGGTCGGGTTAAAATGGAAAAATTCTAAGCGTGCTGCGTATAACGTCGTCATGAATCGCAAGGTCGATTATACGTGGCATCCGTACGAGCGCGTAAGAACCACCACAGACGTCATTCCTGCGAAACTGTGTCTCTTTGAAATTCCAATCGCGTAGCGCATTGGCACGTGAATTTTCAATAGATCGTTTCGCGCCGCTCGTTCGTCTCGCAACGATAAAGCGGGGGGATATTTTTCTTTGGACTATCGAGATACGCGGCCGAGTGTAATTTCGAAGCATCTTGCGTTCTGCGATATTCAAAAAAATATATGTTCCTTCTATAAGAATTTCATACAAAACGTGATACATTGGACGTCTCAAAAGTCCGATGAAATAACGTGAATTTCAAATTACTGTCGTAGCGATGTGAGAAATATTGATAATTCATATTGGAAGGTAACAAAAGACATTTTTTTGCAAAATTTTTATGTACATAATTTTGTCAGAATATATTATTTACATGCTCTTTATCGATTTTCATTAATTCTTTTCATTAATTCTTATTCATACATTCTGTTAAGATTATTTTCATTTTTGGTTTGTTATCTTCCAAATAATTCTTACGTCGTTATGAAAATAATTTGAAACTGCTCTCTTATTTTTTATCATTCATATTTTTAACTTACTCGAAATCATCGTTATTTAAATCTACTTGCAAAATTGTATAAGACGAATCATTACCTAATAGACGTAAACAGCATTTTTATTATCTAAAATTCTGTAGTATGCTAACGCGGACCAAATATCTCTGTGCATTGCAAAATTGACGAATTTGCGTAGGAAAAAGTGGACGATAGCGATGGCAGCGAAAGCATAGCGGCAGTAAAGTAACGTCCCTTGTTCGCCACAGCATAAACACCATAGAATAAGCGAAGTGACGACGACGATGCACCTGCCTGCTCTCCGCCGGCAGTTGCACCCCTCTTTATGACGATGCTATCTAAGATAGCTATGCGTGCCCCTCGGTCGCTTCGCTTTTGCTCGCTTCGTGCTGGTAGCCGCGCGACACCTGACGCACGCTCGTGCACACGTGCAGCGTGCACGCGCGAGCGCGCACCTCTTCGCCTGCGCTTGTGAGAAGCAACATTAATCTGCCTTCTCACACATGGACAGGCTCGAACCTCTTCTCTGGTCTATCTTTTCTCGTTACTGCTCTTACTCTCGTTCCGCCGCGAATCGCGGTTTGATTTCGACGTCTCTATTTTAGAAGTCGAAATTCTCGTTGAGAATAGGCGAGGGTGTAGCTTTCCTGTTGCGAAATCATAACGCAGAATACTTGCAGAAAATTCAGTTTATTATTTTTATTTTATTTTTCAGTTTATTCTTTGCGCGTTATATATGAGATTTTGTAGAATTTTATATGTCGCACACACGTTAATTATGATGTTAATTTTGACATGTCTTGTCGAGGTAATGATTCAGTGCAATTTTAGCTGTCGCTCATTTATTATTTATTCAACTATTTTTAACAAATAAAATCGATGCAAACGAGTAATAGATGTGATAATTTGAGTTTCACATGAATTCTATATTAGTTGGATATTTGCATATTTAAATAAATTTGTGAAGGGGATTCGATCCCTCTCTCTGCACTTCCACCCCGAAAAAAGTCTAATCTAACTCAAACCTAATTTTAATTTTAAATAAGAAGTAGATTAAGGAATTAAGTTAATCTTTTCTCACATGAGTGCAGGGTGAGAAATTTAGCCTCCTTGTCACTTATGCATTTACCTTGCCCCAAACAATATTAATATGCAAACAGTATATATAAATATCTTATTTAGGAATGAAGTCTCTAACAATAAGCATATATTATGATAAAAGTTATTAGAAAATGATTAGGCGTCGTGAAAGTTATTATAAAGAATTATAATATATTACTTACACAATCGAAAATGCATACGCCTTTCTAAGTTTTTTAATAATTCTTTAAAAAATACCATTAATCTTCAAGTCTATTATTAAATAGAATCTGCGGATGTAACCTGCGCTATTAAAATGTATTTACGCTTTTTCTAGATATACCGGCGCAAGTGCCGCCGTTAACACCTGGGACCAACAAGAAGATGACCGAGGCTTTGGAGGCCATTTTCGCGAATTGGGAAAAGGAACGACTCCGCCTGAATATAACTAAAGGTCAGATATTTATACTTAATTTATCTTCCCATCGTAAAATTGCGTAACGTCACGTAATGCACGTCTTTAGATCCATTGAATGCGTTGAACGCAGACATTGCGAGATATAAATTACACGCCTTCACCATAAAATTATACACATATACCTGTACAATCTTTAGACTTTCGCAAAGTTAATCGAAAATTCACTTGGTGGTTTTTTTTCTATTCATAAATAAATCAATTCTCGATATATTTGTTTGAAATTTTCACAAGAAATTTTAGCGCGAATTTAATTAATTTTTCTCGTCCAACTTTATGACTGCGATTAATACAAGATTCGGAATTTACGAAACTCGTGCCGCGCAAGTTGTTAAAAAATCGCTGCACAGAAAATGAGAGAATGCGCGCGCACGTGCACCAACACACGTTCATGCCTCATGCATGCGTGCGTGCGTCTCTTGCCCACGCACGCACGCACGCACGCAAGAGACGCGCGTAGATATACGGAGACGCGGGTGCGCGCGATGTGACGCGATGTGCGACGAGCCGGCCGGCGATGTGCAGGAATTGTGAATGTGATGTTGATGGTTCTGATGGGGAGCCGATGCCACACATCCGGTATGCGCATTCAGAGCCACGCGGGTGTGACGTTGCTTCCGGTCTACATGCCCCGGGTTCGTACCCTCCAGGCCAGATCACCTACAGTCTGACCTCCGTGAACCTAACGAACAAACCTCCTCCACCTCTTGCCATTTCACTTCGAGCCCGGCCTGAGACCGCTGTCCTTTTTTTTATTTGTCTACGTTTTTATTCTCATTCTTCTCTTAATTCCCTGAATCCCAATTTTCGGAAACATCGATCAACATTAATCTAGTCACCCGAATATTAATATATATTTTTAATTATTTCAAAATCTCTATATCTGAAGACATGATAGTATACATATGTTATAATTAATAAAACATTTAGAAAATTAAAATTAAAATGATATAAAAATTTTCTTTTATTCATAATTAATTTAAAAATCAATCTGGCTCTGCAAATTTATATAAATATTATTAAAATTACACATATTGAAGATCTTCAGTATGTATTGTTACGTTTCGTCGAAGGGTGTACATATGAAAATGTATACGCTTACTATATGGAAGACGTATCGTGCATTCACAATTACGTTTCGACGAGACAGTCATATCGCAGTTGCTATTATGACTTATTCAGAATCTATCTCTTTTGAATAATAAATACAAGTATGAGATCCTTCGGCGTATGAAGATGAGAGAATGCTTCTGCGAATTCGCGTGAGTTTCGTTACGGTCTCGTCTATTTTAAGAGGCACCTGTTATAATAGAGTTATATTTAAATTCACCAATCGTTATCTCTCGATCGTGACCGTAACTTTGGATTTTAAGGGATTTTAAGGTGGCACCTGTTCATTATCTATGTTTGAGAATCAATGACGAACTTGATTACTTGATATTTTTATCATTTAACACTCTTCAAACACCTTTATCATTATGGTAAATATTAGACGTCCTCTTGACAGATGTCGATATGTAAATTATCTCTCTTTTGACAGCAATTTTATCTGGACGATAGAAAAAGAAAGAATAAGAAGTAAATACAAAATTAATATAATGAAGAGATCATGAAGAGCGATCGAGACTAGCAAGAGGAGTGTATACACGTGCGCACGCGTGAGCGTGGATTTGTGTTCAAATGCGAAGCGAGAAAGAGAGTGTAAAGTCTGCTAACAACGCTGACAAGAAATAAGTTGGGCAAATATCGGTACGATCCTCAAACAGAGGCGGTCGCTTTGAACGTGCCGTGCCGTTAGACACTCTCGTTGCTTCGCTCACCTCTTTCTTTTCCCTTTTTTTTTATATTTATATCCTATTCTGGACGTGCAAGAAAAAATCAATTTAATTTGTATACTCTATCGATTCTGAGAATTACGTAACCCATCGTGCTATTTACCGAATTTGCATTTTTTTTTGCCGCATATTAAAATCGTTTAATATGTAGATATGGATATCAGAAACGACTATTATTGAATTTATTATCTGTGCAATTTGAATTGCATAGCTGGAAAATTTTTTCCATTCGAAAGAGAGAAAATTAATTTTCACCAAAACAGAAAAATTATTTCTATAAAAGAATTGATCGATTATACATATATCGATTTTCGAATACGCCATGCGAAATTATTTTCGCGCCTGTCATTCTCTAAATTCGAATGCAACTTTTAATTGATAAATGTATTTCTCTGGCATTAAGATTTGTAAAAGTGTTAATTTAATTTATTAATTTTTTTTATTTTCGCGTGTTCTCATTTAATAGCGTAGAGTAATAGTGTATGCTTTTATGGAACATCAAGGTTCTTTCTCTTTTTTTTTTAATAATGATTTTCCCGATGACAATCACGTAAAAATACGTATACAGCATCTCGAGAAAAGTATAAGGAAAATATTTATATCACAATTTTGCGAATAATAATGTGTTATCGAGGCACTCTATATTTCGATCTTTTGTGAAGATCTTTACGAGAATAGATTTCGAATCGTTCGACCATCCTGTTCACGTCGTCAGTGTTAAAGGACGGTTACGAGATTGTGAGAGCAAAGCTGTATACATTAGCAAGTCGCTACGTTGGTAACTTCTGTTTGCATTATGAGCCGAACTGTACTTTTACGCAGCGAGATACCACGAAACAATGCAAGACACGCGTGCAAATATGGGCGCGCACCTCAAATGGGACATTCCGATGTTTCTCGGTATTGCTTCGACCAAAGATGGCCGGCTGGGCCTGACTAATGTCGTTACGACTATGTCGTATAATGTTCGTCTCTTCGATGACTCTCGGTTGGTCTTAACGAGCCGCTCTCAGATGACCGCCATCTGCGAGAATCCAAATTAGAGAGAAACTTTAAACCTATCGTCCTAATCGTCCGTCTCGAAAGTATAAATGTAGCAAGTAATCTCCAAAACTCGACTGCGTCTTACGAATTCGAAAAGTATCAAAATTTACGTTATCGCTAAGTATTTTCTCAAACGCCCACATACGATAAGCCTCGTCTTTTGTTCGAGATAAACATAAAGATCGAAATCGTTCGGATCTTTCGGTATCCTTCGATCGATAGAGAGACGAGAAAAGGTCCTTCCTTATCGTCGGGATCGCAAAACCCCCGGCGATAAGGGGTCGGGAAACGAAGATAGAATTCATCTAGGAGGTGTAGCTACTAAAAAACAATCCGGCTCTTGTTTTCTTTTACAGACCCGAGGCAATGGTCGGAAGCAGCTGTTGCCCACTGGTTGCAGTGGGCTATCGGAGAATTCTCCCTGGAGGGTACGGCGATGCAGCCGTGGCAGCACATGACTGGGAAACAGATTTGTGCCATGGGGAAGGAATCCTTTCTAGCACGTGCCCCCACCACCTTCATGGGCGACATCCTATGGGAGCATCTCGAGATCCTGCAGAAAGGTGCGTGTCTCCTGCTTACATCTCGTACAGTCGAGTTTGTCAAGATACCTCGAAATCAATGCAAGTCTGAACGATGAATCCTTGAATCCTTAAATATATTGTTTTGTTTAGATTTTGACATATAATAAGGTTAAAAAACGCAATTTTTAGAGGTAGCTTGATAAAATCAATCAATCGCAAAATTCATGATCTTACCCTTCGACTGAACTCGATGCATCTTAAGATACACGTAATTATAATTGATGTTTTTTACTAACTATTAGTAACATAAAATATTAGTAATATTACATATTACTACTTGTCTCTTATGCCCGTGAGACAATCCCTGTAAATTATCTACGAAAGGCGCAAATATTTTTAGCTATCTTAAGCTCTGGATTATCACGATAAAATTTAAATATAAAGTGAAAACCGAAATGAAATTGATATCTGCGCATTTGCAGTAATATAAAACAAAGAATCCTTAAATCCTTAAATATATTGTTTCGTTTAGATTTTGACATATAATAAGGTTAAAAAACGCAATTTTTAGAGGTAGCTTGATAAAATCAATCAATCGCAAAATTCATGATCTTACCCTTCGACTGAACTCGATGCATCTTAAGATACACGTAATTATAATTGATGTTTTTTACTAACTATTAGTAACATAAAATATTAGTAATATTACATATTACTACTTGTCTCTTATGCCCGTGAGACAATCCCTGTAAATTATCTACGAAAGGCGCAAATATTTTTAGCTACCTTAAGCTCTGGATTATCACGGTAAAATTTAAATATAAAATGAAAACCGAAATGAAATTGATATCTGCGTATTTGCAGTAATATAAAACAAAGAATTCTTTGCATATTTGCCGGTGATCCTGCGTTACTAACGCGAGGCTAATCGTAAAAGCACGCACTGCGCGCGCTACGCTCTTTTGCGGGACACCTTCCGTCATCGTCGACAAAACCGATCGAATTTCCGTAAAATCGCGATGTTACGTCTTGACGTACAAGCAAAAAGACTCCGGCGGACAATAACAATAGCGACAGGGGGTGGCTCTCATCCCCCTCTTTCTCCCAGATATATCTCGCGTTTCGTACAGCGTTGAATCAGGGCCCTCCTCGTTTTTACCTTCGTACGGAGAATGAGAGGCGTAGGAGAAGAAAGACGGAGCACCATAGAAAGCTTCCATCCCGGATATCCGCCGAGATGGTGCAGCAGCGTTATTGCCAGCGCGGCCACTTAGACGCTTTTCGGAGATGGTGCTCGCGTGCACCAAAGAATTCACTCGAATTTCGATCTCGCGACCGTGTACCGTCAATGGTCGAGATTCAGAGCTTCGCTCGGTCCCTTTTATTTAAATCCCCTCCCTCTCGCCCCCCTCGTGTCCCCTTTTTGTGGTACGTGCGCGCTCAAAACAGCAAGTCAAGTTCACCGTAAACGCACGTTCGAGATTTAACAAAGCAGAGAAAATTCAAAGGGAAAATATCCTCCCACATGGAGGATGGATCTCGGATGAGGAAAACGACGCAAGTGCAAAAAGAAAAGTCGTATCAATTTTACAACAATCGTCTTTCTTTATATTCGTGTTGCTCGATTTAGCGTCTATATTTGAATTAATCGAAACATATTTTTGGAAGATCAAATAATATTAATAAATATTTTCTATAGCTTAAAAATGGACCTTATAGCAACGTTTTTGTTTATATCAGCTTTTATGCAAATATATATTGAATTTGATCATACATTGTGATATCTTATCGTAAATATAAATATAAAAATGTATCTCTTGCATATTTTTATTCGTATTATTAAATTTGCGACGATGCTATTGATGTACGATCAAAATCAATGCCTTGTGAATTACTTTGATATATAATAAAATCATACTATGCAACAACAATAAATATACAAAAGAAAAAATTGGTATTATAAAGAACAAGAAAAAACAGGATTTATAAGAGGAGCAGGGATATGAGGAAGAAAGAAGGGAGAGTTGAGAAGAGAGAGGAATACTGATGGAGGAAGATGGAAAGCTAAAGAGATAGAGATGCAGATCATACGAAATGACGAGGCAGGAAGCGAAGATATTCGCCCGTGATTTAACTCCCGTTAAGTAAAACCCCATACTTCCTTATCGATTATTCACGTCGCCTCATCATCGGCGCTGAAACCTCGGCTTAATCGTCTAGCGCGATCTAAGGACGACTACTAACGGTATCTCTCCACAAAACTCAAGATTCGTCTCGAATACATAATCTGTCCCGTGCCAAAAGGGAGCGTATAAGATAAGTGCGAGCGAGGAATAGAATATTTGACTTTTGAAGATTAAGTCGTGTACGTCATTCATCCACATAATTGACTTATTTTTTTTTCAATAAAATACAAATCAAATAAATAAGCACTATATGCGTAATGCAATGTTTTGAACGTTCTCAAAAGTTGTAAAAATCTCCAGAGAGTTAAAAATAAATGTTAATTTCCACGAACTTTTAATCATCGTTTACAGCCTGCGTATACGATTGATCGAAATTGACGGAAAGTCTCAATGAGTTTTCTGAACGGAGGCTGGAACGGGGCTGAATAAAAACATGAATTTTCGCTTTCCACGTTCCAGCCGTGCAATTTGAAATTGATTATTGTGTTAGGATTGTGAACAAGGTAGAATCGGCCGTGCCACGTGATTCCCTCCGACCGAGAGGCGATGGTAATTTAACTGAAGCCTAGCGTGCACCCATCTGCGAGCGCGCAGCCGCGACACGACGTGGGTAATCGCTTTGATTCCGCGAATGAGAACGGATGTTAGGAAACGCTCTTGCGTTGTATAAAAAAGTAGAAACTAAAAAGTTGTATCTTCCGGCGATACCGATCGGATTCACGGTGAAATTCATTAAAGCGACGCGTTTCGCCACCGCCGAAACGAATGATTGATCTCTTTTTTCTCGGTTTTACATGCGTTATCGAAAACGGAAACTTTAAAATCGAATTTTTCTCTTTTAATCTTGTCTCGTGATAATCGCGTTGTATAAGATATCATTTTAGTAAATGTGCGTCATTTTTTGACATTATCTTGTCAAAACATGTAATCTTTCTTTGCTTCTTAGATTATTAATTGGTGCAGATCTAAGACTTAAAAAAAATAAACTATACGAGAAATTATATGAATCATGAACTATACTACTTAAATAATTTTCTCTAATATATAAATTAATTCTGATGATAATTCGATCGAAATTATTTGAAGAAAATCTCGTCCGACGTAGGTTTATTTCCATTACCAACTTTGCTGCAAATTAATAGTCGAGAGTATATCGATTCAAGAATGAGGAAAAAACTGTGCTTTTGGGAGGAGTACAGAAAATATGATTTGCATCATTAAAGGCAGAAAAATGTACCAAAGTGTGAAACACGTTCTCGGCACGTGCTTCGCGTGCGCACGTTTTGCATTTCTAGTCTACAATTGTTGGCAGAAGAATTCCTAGAAACGTAGAAACGCCGACGATGAATCACACACGGCAACAGCAGCAGCGTCTCCTTCGCAATACACGATGATGACAGTGCTACTCGAGATCGTTAATCACGATATTGCGCTCGCGATGCGCGCAACGATCGCACACAATCACCGTAGGGGAATAACTTAATGACAACGGTGCAACATTTTATTCCTGTCGTAATCGACAGCGCGCGCTGAAAAACTGTACGATGATGATTCGAGTACCGCACGTGCCGCATGCGATAACTCTATTATCGTATTGCACGCAGATAAGATTCAATTATTACGATTAATGTATATACGCGCTATCAACGAGGCACATATATAACCGTTTACATGTATACATTTAATTGACTTGTAAACATGTTAATTTACTTTTTTTAATCTCGTTAACATTCTTGTATCGATTCGACAGATCAATTAAAATTATAGGAATAATTTATAGAATGATTGATTATTGATTAAAAATAAAAACCATAAAATATTGTTATAAATTAAATATTTGCGATCGAGAAAATAATTATGTAAAACGATGGCAGCGCGTCCGCAATTATTAGACGCGGATTAAATAAATCCGGTATATAGGAGCAGAGACGGCGCGACTTAATTACACACGCGAAGATATAAGAAAAAAAAACAGAACAGAGGTTGCAACTCGGTTGAGGATTTATCTCCGTTTTACATTCAGATGTCGACGCAGCGAAGGCCTCTCTGGAGAACGTGCCGGCGAACTTGTATGAAAGCGTATGCGTGCCAGATTTAGGTGATTTTGTGGGATACCAGGGTGGCGGCCATCAGGTGGCAACACCAGAACATAAAAATCCGCCGACGCCCGCCAATTCGGCCACCTCCAACTCCTCCGGTCCTCCTCAGAGCGGTACGCAACAACAACCCTCGATACAACCCTCTTCGGCCGCGGTGTCCCTGCCATCGAGACAGTATCATAACGATGGTAAGTCCACTTTTTCTATTCCTCCGTCTTCCTCCGTCGTGAAGGATCGCTCTCGACTGCTGTAGAAATTCTCTGCAGCGATATTTTTCTCGCGCCACTAGATCGAACCGTGAATTTTTCTCCGACAGTCGGAAATTTTCGCAGGCTTTTTTTATACAATACTCTCACAAGCGTCCCTCTAAAAGATATTTAATAATCAAATAAATGAGAAATTTATTGAATTTTTCTCTATACTCTGAAGATATAAAAAATTGTCATGGACGAAAGGAATTAGAAATTATTTTGTTCAACAGTCGGAAATTTTCGGGGTCTTTTTATACAGTACTCTTACAAGCATCCCAGCGACTGTTCCTCTAAAAAATATTTAATAATAAAATAAATGAGAAATTGTGTAATTTTTCTCTACTCTGAAGATATAAAAAATTGTCAAGGACGAAAGGAATTTTAAATTACCTCTCTCCAACTATAAAGTTGAATAAACGTGCGCGTAAAAAATAGGAAAAAACCGTAAACGAGGATGACGAATAATTGCAACGACACCCACATTCCCTGTACACAATCCTCCTTTTTTTCGATACCGATAATCCGGTCGCGTGCATACGACGCACGCAAAGAGCCGCTAAATTACGCGACAAGCGGTTTTTTTTTTTTTTTATTTATTTATTTCCCCCGATTGCAAGTGCAAACGAAAGCGTGGAGGAGTTTCTCATTGTTACGTCAGGGTGGCTGATAACATCTCTCGGGTTGGCGCGTTTGCACGTGTTGCAAACGCAAACCTCTCATTATCGTCACTGTTCGTTTCTCATTTAACGTTTCTTCGTCATCATCGTATAGCCAGCGACAGGTCGCGATTTCACCGACGCGACGTCTAGAAATCGACCGTCAAATATCTAGTCTCTCTCTCTCTCTCTCAAAGTGGATTACAACATATGTCTCGTTATTAGCTTACGACAGGCAAGGTAGGGTGAATTGTTTCGCAGTGAAATCCAATCGAGAAGATTTAATCTTCAAGATACCGTGAGTTGGATCATTTTCAATTTTTGTACTTTGCTTCGTTCGTCGTCGAAAATTATGAACGAATCTGAAGAATTTACGCCGTATCGCGATTCGCACTCTTGAAATCTTGGAGAATACAGTGCTACATAATATCTGAATAACAAATGAATGAGCTATCCCACATGATAGTTTAGAGATAAGATCGGTGATGACGTAAGCTATTCGCGCGCGGCACATTCAAACTCATTTTTTCCACTTTTTGTGGAATAGCTCGTGGAATAATTCTCTCACTAAGCTATTCTATTCATTCACAGAAGTTTTCAGAACGGTATCTCTTGAATCGCGGCTTCTCTATTGCGATTCACGAAAGACGAGAAGATTGCCAAAGATTTCGCGTCAAGTTTTGTAAAACCGAGCTTCGATTGAATCAAGCACCCAGCGAAAAAAAATTGGTTACATAATTAAATTTTGTTACGACGTAAACAATTGAAATTTCGCATTCCAAAGAATAACATTGTTCGAATGACGAATCTGATTTTAATTTCATTATAAAGCGCGGAGAATGAGTTACCAAGTGAAAATATCAACGCTAACGCTGGCGTAACCCACGTGTAAAATTTCCCTCTTGCGTTTTCTTGCTACGTGAAAATTTTTGCACAAAGTGCACGATACGCGCTATATAACTGACCCAATTTCATTTGACCATTCGATCATCTATCTGGCTTTGACCGAGTTACTTTCGTCATATATGCTTATCCGTTGTAAGATCGCATTTATCATTATATGATGAATCAGCTTTCCCCGAGTTTTTTTCTTTTTACACAATATATCAATGCCCTGCTGTCGAAAGAGATCGAAATCTGCCAGTGCATTTATGGATTATAATACCTCGATATTTGATATATCGCAGAATTCAAGAGCTACAAGAATTGAAGGAATATTTTTTTATAGGATGAGCTGATCAATTTTTGAGACGATTTTTTTTCTCGAAAATTGTTTCTCATATCAGTAATTTTTTAAGCAATAAACGATTGAGAAAAAGGACTTTTCATAAACTAAATAGAGTCAAATATCATTATAATTAAACTTCAAGTTTTAATGGACTATTTCAATCGTTTATTACTTGAAAATTATTGATTAGAAATTACACGGAGAGAATTTTCTCTTAGAATTAACCCTGAAAATCATGGTAATGTAAAAAATATTAATATGCACATAGCAAAATTAATCGAATATATTTCATATCTTATTATTGTGGTAGATATGAATATTTTTTATTTTGTGGTAAATATTTAATTAAAGAAACTTGTAAAATTCTTAATTCCAATACTATAGTGCCCTACGATTACCGTGATTTTGAGGATAAATTCCGAGACAATTCTTTTTATATGTAGACGTGCGACTACAGAGTATAATTGAAACCATATGATTTCGCGAAAGCAGGCCTTTATCAATGGCTGATAATCCATTCCGTAATCCGTACTACACGCGTGCAATTGAGTGCGTTGATGGCATCGGAGGCACGCGCAATAGAACGACGATGGACGAAATAGAATAGAATGAAACCGAGCCGAGCCGAGCGGATCGGAGCGGAGGAGAGCATTATAGCGAGGGGCCTTACGTCATTGCAGCAGTGACCGTGGGTGAACGAGGGAAAGTCGGGCTCTCTACACGCTCCGCCGCGGACAATGGAGACGATTCGCTCGCTCACGCCCGCTCCGTATGTCCGTCTCGATCTGTGTACACACACGTGTATACGCACGTTAATGAATGCGCTCGCGTTAGATCCCTCGTCTCTATTCTGATTTCAATCGCGTTCCGTCTACGTGGAAAATAGAATGAAATCAGCATTAAAACTCTAATTGAAATCTAGCTTCTTCTGGAGATTCTCTCGCGTAAGTATTATTTACGAGAGAAATATTATTCGATAGAGCAATCTCTCAACTCGAGCCAAAAATTGACAGAAAAGGAATCAATTGAATGAGCGAGGAATTCAATCTTCAATTGACGAGCTAAATTAAATTTGGCTTACATACCAACGAGGTGTCCTGAGAGACACAAGTTTTAATATATAGTGATTGAAATGTTTTTTTTTTTTTTTTTTAATTAATACCACTTTAATTATATTGACATCTTAAAAGAATTAATCATTTGATAAAGACCTAAACCACAGGTCGAAACGTCATGAATTAAATAAATGAAGAAAAATTTTTGTAGTCCAGTATTGGTCGTTTTTTTTCACGAATTTAATTTAATTCTTACTGGCGACTAATGAATTAACAAAGACATCAAAGTATTTAAATTAAATATCGCTGGGACTTTCGCTGAGATTTTAGGCGTGAATAAAAAAAAATATCAAAAGAGACGGCAAAGTCGTCAACATTCGTAGATGTCAAAGACAGGTTTCGGGCTAGGAAAGTTTGACAACCGCTGACTGATATTCGCTCATGCAATTCACCGAAGTTCCTCGAAGACCCAGCTGGTACCGTATATACGGACGCGTCGTTACAAAGCGACCAACACAGACATCCGTATAATAGACTCATTATTTCTGCTTGCTAAAGCACTGTTACGTTATGTATCACAGCTCTTCGAGGTCTCTAGTTCGACTCTCGCTTATCCTCGCTTTCGACCTCCTCGTGTCGGAACCGACATGTCGCGTTATTTGGGAATCATATAGTCGAATTCCAATTTTTTGCTTTCAAATATCCCATGCAACATTAAATTCAAATAACCATTGCTTGGAAATTGCCCCTCAAATTATTTTTCACATATAAATACCCGTATAATAATAAATTGATTGAGTGATACTGTAGCGTAGATTAATATTTCGTAAGGGTGGGATATCAATTTTTTTTATCGAACACTTATATTAGGGGATCTTTTTCGGTGCGCGTTGTTCACGAAGGCAACTCACCGCTTCGCGTCACGTATATCGCGTCTCTGTGTGCGCGTGCATAAATTAACGACATCGAGACGAGCGCGAAGACGAAAACGAGCGACGCGAGAGAGCGCAAAAGCCGTTCCGTTCTTCTCTGTCTGCGCGGTTTACTGACCACACGCGACCAAAAAAGGAGCGCTATCTGCGTGACGTCCATTTAATATGGACGTTTATGGAAGAGGAGAGGTCGGCTAATTCGCGCCGCGGCGAATACAATGATTATTTGTTAAGCAACCCTCGCGTTATAACTAACGGCGACGAATATGCGGCATTCTGATCGGCTTCTGTCTCTGTCTCTCCCCGGCTCTAACGTCCAGCTCTTTGATGCGTCGATTCGATAAGCGACTTTGAATTTATTCGAAATTCTCTACACGTAGAAAATTTTAATAAAAAAGTAATGGGAGGAAGGGGCGCAATCTGCGCTCTTGGCTTTGTTTGTCTAATGAAGACAGATGCTTTCGTTTATTAAAAAATTTCTTTTAAATATATATATATGTAATAAATTAGTAAAAAATTATAACGCTCTTATATATTAAAATAAAATTGTAAAATTAATGTAAGAACAGGCCAACTCAATATATATATATTCTTCGTATTCAACATCCGCGCGTAACTCATTTTTCATTCGTTATCACGTAACAAATCACCTCAATTTCACGCTACGCTTTTTCCACGAGCGCTGGAAAGCACACCGGAGCATTCTGCAAATTGTAACTAATTTTTCAAATCAGTATACTTAATACATATATAACTATAGTTACGCGAGGCTTAATATTCGCGCGATAATAAAACCGCAATAACACGTTTTCTCGGATAGAACTTGAAGGCGCGAACGAGGCGAAGCCACGCAATTTCCTGCGTCGCGAGTCGCGAAGAGATATGCAATACCACGATGTCGTGTACGAATATACACATATACATACACGTGCATCGGCGTCGATCATATTGTGCTGCCGCAGATCGCGATATATAAAGATATATATAAAGAACGATCGGTATAGGGCTAGAAGTGCTGAGAGACTCGCTTGTAGGGATGAAGCGAACAGAAAAAGAAGAAAGGGGC